ACCTTGCTGTTTCAGTGTCCAGCTTCAGCTGAACATCAAACTCTCCCTCCACCCCTAACTGAGGCTTCTATAGACCAGCTTGGTAGAGAGACAAAGGAGAGGAGTATCTCCCCCCCCCTCTCTCTCTCTCACCCTCTCTCTCTCTCTCTCTCTCTCTCTCACACTCACACACACACACACACACACACACACACACTTTTTTCCCCTCTATCAGGCAGAAAGGAGTGGAAAGGGCAGGAGAGGTTTCCTGATGGATGGCTCCCTACTCTCTGGGGAGACAAAAATGTTTAGAGCTCAGTCTCGTGGGCATATTAGGGGTATTTTCAAACCTCCCTGCCAAGCCTTTCAGTCTGTAACCTCAGATAAGGACAGAGCTTCTCCAACTGGTCACCCTGCATGCCAGCCCCAGCCCCTGGCTCTCGGGCACCCCTTCCTCTGGCTCGCTGCCCAGGGATGGTAGTGGGAGGACTTAACCAGCCCCAGACTAGATCTCTATCTTGCAGGGTCCACACCAGGCCCTTGAAAAAACGCATACATAAGCTTTGACCCCATCCAGAGGGAGCAAAGAGCCGAAGTTTTCCACTCACAGAAGCCACTCTTCCCACCATAACTTCAGTTAATCAGCCCGTTCGTCTCAGGCAAGAGAGAGAATCCAGTGTGTTTCACGCCCCAGATCCAGGAACCCTCAAGACCCTAAACCATCACTGGAAAGCCCCCTCCTTCTAAGCATGCATCAGGGGCAAACAACCTTGCTCTCCTCACTGGGAGACGGCGGGGGAGGGACAACAGCTTTGTCCTTTGCCTTTTTATCACTTCAACCTGGGTCAGGAGCCCCCACATGAGGGACACTGTGGTCTGGCCCTTGTCCTTGGTACACATCATCCATGGAATTGTGGCGCCTCAGATGGCACTGAGTTTTCAGATTTCACTAAGGGCTGGTGAGGATATCCATCAGTGGGCAGTGAGCAAAAAGAGCTTTACTTCAGACGGAGTGGCCAGGAAAGGCCTTTCTGAGGAAGGGACGCTGAAACTGAAACTTGGTGAATGAGAAGCAGCCAGCCAGGGGAAGGGTTGGGAGAAGAGCACTCCTGGGAAAAGGCTCAGCATATGCAAAGACCCAGAGGCAGGAATGAGAGGAGAGAGGGGGAAAAAGGGATGAGTGATGAGGATTGAGAGGTAGACAGCAGCCAACGATGCTGGGCCTCGCAGAGCTTGGCTTTTCACGCAAGAGCTGCAGAGACCTTTGGAGGGTTTTGATAAGCAGGGAAGTGACAAGGTGTCGGTAATATTTTTTAAAAATTAACTCAAGTTGTTGGGTGGAAACTGGATTTTGGTAGGGGGGAATAGGGGTGGAAAAAGGAAGACTTTAGAGGAGACTGGGATGAGTAAGTGAATAAATGAGTAATGGATGGATGGATGGATGGATGGATGGATGGATGGATGGATAAAACAGACATCTCTCAAGGCAAAGGGGAATCCAAGCCCCAAGGCAGTAAGTACTTAGTACTTTAGGGGCTCCCAGGAGGCAAACGGATACCAGGTCTAGGTGGAGCACAGATCAGACCACTTCATGCAGGTCCTGCCTTTTGAATTGGGCCTTGAAGGTCAGCAATATTATTTCAACAGTAATAAGACCATTTACCATCTACTAAATTCTCTGAAGTTCCAAGCATTCCACACTGTCTTATGTGACCCTCATAACAGTTCCATTTTGCAACTGAGGAAACAGAGGCTCCGAGAGAAGAAACAATCATCCCAGAGCTGCACAGCCGACCAGCCCAAGAGCAGAAATTGAACCACATCTGTCAAACTCCAGGCATCCCCTGCTCCGCTGCCCTCACAGGGCAAGACGGGGTCGTCAGGGGGTGCACGAGGCGTTCCAGGAAGAGGACACAGAACAGTTAAGGGCCTGGGAGCTGGAAAGCGGCGTGGCCGGGATAAAGAGGCTCTCTGCAGGCTCGGGGGTGCTGAGTGACACTGAGGGCAGGGCCATGCAACCTGGGGGCTCCATGCCAGGCCTGTAGTGACACAGTCATGCTTGCTGACCCCAACAAATGTGCAGAGCTGAGAGGCAGGAGGCAGGAGCTGATGTGGGTCCAGGCCCTGGCACTGGGCTCAGGCCTTCTACAGAGAGGCATTGTCCATGGGCAGTGGGCATGGCCAGCTGGGAAGCCCAGGAGGGGGCGTTTGTCTCTCTGGAAATTTGCCCAAGAGACATGCAGGGTTCCTTCCAAGAGGCCTCATCTTTAGAAGTCTGAGGACCTCAGCGCATTTACAAACACAGCCGCAATGTGCCTGGTCCAGTTGCCTGCCAGGTGCCCCAACACCCTGCCCACCCTTCATGACAGCTCAAGACCTCCTTTCTCCAAACCTCAGGAAGCCGGAGTCCTGGGGCTGCCTCCAGGCAAGGATGTGGTTCAACAGAAGCCACAAATATTTTCCTTGGAGACCTTGGCCCAGCCCAAGACCTTGGCCCAAATGCAAAGAATAACTGCCCAGCCCAGGGTATGCAGGATATAAACCTGGACTTCCAGACCCACTGCCCAAGTGAAGAGTAAGCTGAGGACTCTGGCACATCCAGGTAAAAGTGCAGGGAAGGGACTGAAAGCCTAGGGTGCCAGAAGGGTTCTGAGTTGGACACACTTGTTGGGGTCAGGTCAGAAGCAGGAGGGAGGCTTGGCCCTGAGGTAAGTTCCCTCAGTCAACTAGGACCCTCTGAACGGGTGGAGAGGGGCCCAGCTCCCTTACCAGGAAGACCAAAGAGTGATACTGAGAGATAAGAATGGCTGAGTCTTTCCCTGGCTTCATCCCAATGACATAAATCCATTCTGCACACATCACTTGCTCTGTGCCTAGCCCTGTGCTGGGATGATTCTAGGGACAAGAAGTACCAGACAGTCCTGGCCCTCAGGAAACTCCTAATATGGGCCAGCGTGGTATATGCTGTGTTCAAGGAAAGCCCAGTGACATGGTGGTAGAGAGCGGTCAGGGAAGGCTTCCTGGAAGAAGTGACAGGACAGTTAAGAAACTGAGTAGAGGCTGGTTGAACAAAGGAGAAAAGAAAGCCACCCTCTATGAAGGGAACAGCATACACAAAGGCCAGGAGGCAAGATATGATGTGGTAGGTGTGTATAGGGTGCTGGGATTTGGGGAGGAGACACGTATCCTCAGGACCAGATGCTGCCATCCTCTTGGTTCCCTGAGTGGCTCTGTTAGAGGGCAGAGAGATGTGTGAAAATAATGGAGGGAAAAAGAGAGCTAAGATGCTGGAAAGGAAAAAATTATAGAGTGGGGGTGGGGGGCTTCCTGGGCAAATGAGTGGCGCGCCGAGAGTCATCTCTGTTTTCTGGCTTTGACTGCAAGGTGATGCTTTCTGACCCCAGTATTATTAATAATAACTGTCATAATCATAGCAGCTAACACACACTGAGCTCTTGCAGCATGCTGGGCCACAAATGGATTGTCTCATTTAATCCTCCCAACAACCCTATGATGTAAGTATTATTATTATCTCTTATATTATAGATGAGAAAACTAAGGTTCAGAGAGGATCAGCCCCTTGCCCAGATCACACAGCAATTGGTAGAGGCAGTCTTCCCATACAGGTCTGTCTGACTCTGAGGCGCATGTTATTTCTCCTTCATCCTCAGGCCTCCTCACACACAGGGATGGCAGGGTCCTGTGATTTGACAGGGATCCTCATGGCCTAGACCTTTGTGGATCAGCAGCCTCAGATTCCCCATTCTTCCAGGGCTTCCAGAGATCATTGATTCACTCAGCAACCATTTGTTTATTAAACATCTGCTGTGTGCCAGGCACTATGCTGGGGGCTGCGGACACAAAGTGGAGCAGGTAGAATCAATGCTCCCTCCCAGAGCTCATGGCCTGGTCAGGGGGGCAGGTGTCGAATCATTATTGCAAGTGTCTCTAAGAGTTTGCACTATTCCAGGTCAGAGAAGACACATGTCGCCCAGATGCTGTGTTTGTCTTTGGCAACAAGAAACCCATGTGCTAAGTAAAGAAAGGGCTCAGGTCTCTGGGTCAGTGTCTTCCCTCCCTCCACAGGAGGCAGAAGCTTCCATCGGGGCTTGAATGCTGAGGCAGAGGACAAGCTGGGGAGCTCAAGAGCAGGTTATAGGTGCTGATGCTCCACCCATGAAGGGGACTAAGCAGCCAACGGGACAGAATACCCCCAGCTCTTCCAGGCAACACCCACCGGCCTCCCCTTCTCTCTCTCTGCCTTTCTCTTCCTGGCTCCAAGACGCCACCTATTCCTTCCTCAGGCCCTTTAGAATCGCAGACTAAGTAAACAGCTTTCCTGCCATTTTGAGTCCTACCTGAATTCGCATGTCCCCCCACCTCCAAACTTCCTGTCCTGGACACACACCACTCAGCACCCAGAGCGATATTTCTCCAAGTGTGGTCCAGGGTCTCTGGCTGCTGGAGAAAACTAACAGAGGAAAGGGACATGTGGGCAAAGTTTTAAAGGATGAATAGCCATTCAGCAGGTAGATAAGGAAGGGGAAAAGCATTACAAGAAGAAGGAAGAGCAAGGGCAAAGGCACAAACACAAGAGAGAACAGGGTATATTCTAGGACCTTCAAGCAGCTTGGAATGACTGGGGAATTTATAGAGGAGGATGGGAATAAACAGGAGGTGGAGTTGGCTGAGGTTGGGCCATTGAGTGTTTTAAGTGCCAAAGGCTATGAAGTAGGACCCTATTTTATTATACCCACTTGCAGGATGAGAAAACTGAGGCACAGAGTGGTTGATTGTCTAGACCACACAACTGGCACCTGGCAGCAGAGGCAGGACATGGACCCCACCAATCAGACTCCAGAGCCCACTCTTTTAATCACTTCACTCAACAGCCTCTCTTGGACTCCTCACCCGAAGTCACCAGGCATGGTGGACCTGCCTCTCTGCTTCGCTAATAGGGCCCTCTGTGCTCATCCCACGTTCTGACACCTGCCACCTGTTGCTCCCCAACCCCCAGGAACATGACCAGCTCAAGGGCCTTCACCCTCCTCTGTGGTCTGCTGGCAGCCACCTTGGTCGGAGCCACCCTCAGCCCTCCTGCAGTTCTCATCCTCGGCCCAGAAATCATCAGTGAAAGTAAGTCTTTGCCACCCAAGCCTCAGCACCATAGGGCAACGGGGCAGGTGAAGCAGCTCTCCAAAGAAGGGAGGGGTCTCCCCCTCACCAGGGGTGTGTGAAGCATGGCTGGGACCCCAGTTGTAGGTGAGACTCAAGTGGGTGAGTCATAAAGGTTGAGAGTGTCTATGATCCCAAGAGTCCGTGATTTTAAGTCACCCTCCCTAAACTCCGGGATTCCAAAATCCCACTGCTCCAAGTTACTGCCGCCTGCAGAAGGTGGGTGTGGCACTGAGTGTGATAAAGCTGCTGCTCCTACTGCCCTTGCTTAATACCCCATTAGCAGAGCACCTCCTCAGAGTCAGAGTCCGTGTGCAACCAGTCAGTCCCCAGAGCAAAGACCCTTGGCTGGAAATCCGGCAGCCTGGGTCCCAGACACAGTTTTATCACCCTCCAGCTCTGTGGCCCTGGGAAACTCCCTGAGTCTCGGTTTTCTCCCCTGGAAACAAACAAGAGCGCCTGCTTCACCAGGTTGTTGGGACTATCCAATAGGACAGGAAGTAACAATGACTTTATGAGCTCTATGGTCAAGTTTCTCAACCCTAGCACTTCTGACTTTGTGGGCCAAATAACTCTTTATTATAGGGGCCTGTCCTGTGCATCTAGGGTGTTTAGCACCATCCTCAGCCCAATTGAAACAACCAAAAATGTCTCTAGACATTCTGTCTCTTAGGGGATAGAATCTCCCTGGATGGAAACCACTGCTCCAAAGTGTTGTCCTCTGAGAGGATGATAATAAGTCGGCTCTGGAAGTCCATCCAAAGCACTTAGAGACCAGCCTTCTGCACGCAGTGAACCTGGGCTGGGGCTGGATAGGCAGGGGTGGGGCCAGGTCCTGCAGGGCCACACAGACTCTATAGGCAGAGGAGGGATCTCCAAGCAGGGACAGGGCGCAGAGAGTTCTAGGTGCTGTGGGGGCAGGCAGAGGTGCCCTGGGCCCACACTGAATCGCAAGCACCTGGAATGTCAGCCGGAGGAGCGTGGAGATGAGCAACCATGGTGTGGGTGTCCCCGCAGCAGAATCTGAGTTAAGGGGTTGTTTGCAAGCAGTTGGTTTTAGAGGAGACGTCAGAAAAAGAACACTAGCAAGTGAGTGGAATACAAGTCAGGCAAAGATAGTCCAGCTACCACTGAGAACTGGAGCTCAGCTGTGTTAGTTAGGGCCAGTCAGGAGGCAGAAGCCACACAGGGAGCCCAACACATGAGTTTATATAAAGAATTGTGAGCCGGGGATAGGAGTCATGGGAAATTGGCTAAGAAAGAAAATAAAAAGAACTCCGAAGAGGACTGGGGAGCGGGGAGAGGCTAATCCAAGGACAGAACAAACTTGGAGGGGGAGAATCCTCCCCAGACTTCATGGGAGGAGTGTGGTTGAAGTCCAGTGGATGGCGGGGCAATCTGCTGGGTCAGAGCTGGTCCACAGTTGGCAGGCTGAGCCCGCGGGCAGAGACCTTCCTACGGGGAGCTGATAGAATTCCCTGGGAAGCTGCCCCCAAGGAAGGGGGTTGCTGTTGACTCCCTGGGAAACATTCTCCGGGAAACTTCCTGACTGGGAGCTGGGGTGCCCACAAGTACTCACGGGCTGCCCTGGACAATGAGACCACAGGAACCTAGCGAGGGAGCCCCCTCCTCCTCCGTGGCCCTCCAGAGCCTCTACTGACAGGGCTTAACGTTGCACCAGCTGGCAAAGGAGGACTATTTACAGGGCCCATCTCCATTATCACAGAGCAGGCAAAAGGGTGGTTTTGTTGCCCAGAAGCAATAGTGCACAGGGATCCTGGGACACAGTGGGGCATACAAACCTCAGTCATCCTGCCCGAGGGCTGAGGAAGCTGGGGTGTTTATACATCAATTCCCATCAGTCATTGGATGGGGGCTACTTCCCAAGCACCAACTCTGCAGCACCTCTGACCTGCTCTGCACACAAGCCAAATGGGCTCTAGCTGCCAGGGAGAGTCCAGCAGGGACCAGAACCCAGGCTCCTGGCTCACAAACCCCTGACCTTGCCCCCTCCTTTCTCTGCTCAGCACTTGATACTCTTTGAATAACAGGCCCATAGGATATGGATGCCAGAGAATTGTAAGCAAGTATGGTTTTGGCAGCAAAACAGCCCCAAACAGGGCCTTATGAATCCCCCGCCTCTTGCCTCCGGAAGTGTGTGCTGCTGACTAATGGGAGGGCTGCAGAGGCTGGCACTGTTCAGGAGCGTGAGTGGTCCACCTATGCCCCAGCCTCAGTCTTCATGTGAAGATGACCCATCTTCATCCACGTCCTTCATCCATCATCCACAAGGCCACATCTATGTGGTGCAGATGGTCAGGATGGAACCATCCATACTGTTGACTTGCGTCCAGGTCCAAGTAGTCGTGAGCAAGGCTCCCTCCCAGCATGGAGCGCCGACCAAGGCATCTTTCTTGCCCCTCCTGCTGGATCCTAATCCCTAGAATCTATCTCCAGGGCTGACTCAGGAGCTGAAGGAACGTGATGCTCTCAACATCCTGCAGCAGCTGCCTCTGCTCAGCGCCATTCGGGAGAAGCCAGCCGGGGGCATCCCCATACTAGGCAACCTGGTGAACTCTGTTCTGAACCTCATTATCTGGTAATTGGAGTGGGACCAGGCTGCGAGCTTCCTGCCCTCACTTCTGCTTAGGACACACTTTGCGCACTCAATTTGTCAGTCAACAAGCATCAATTCCTATCAACTCTGTTGCCTGACCACAAAGAGTGGGGAAAGTCTCTTCCTCAGAAGCTCCTAGAGGAGTTAATAGCCATGAAGGAGTCACACAGGAGCTCTAATAGGGTGACTCCAGAGGGAGGTCACCTGGAGTGAGATGGTGAAGGGATAAGGGGACACTTCTAAGTCTCAGTGACAGGTGAGTCATTGACTCCATGCTCACCAGGAGACAAGAAGAAAATGGTATTCCAGGCAGAGGGATCAGTCTGGGCAAAAGTATAGTGGGGTGACAGTTAGAATGGCTGTTGTTCAAACCCCAAGGTGAGGATAGGGAGGTCAGTGGGGGCCAGGTCACAGAGGGTCACTTAGAAGTTGGGCCAAGGAACTGGGATTCATGTCTTAAGTAATAAGGGGGAGGGGGCATGAGAGTGTTGTGAGCAGAAGCAGGGATTGGGGAGGGAGGGACGTGGCAAGACCACGCCGGGGAAAAGTCAGGGGAAAAGTCAGTGGACAGGGCTTGGGTCCAGCTACTGCCTGGGCAACAAGGGAGACAGGAACGATGGAAGAGAACAAGTTTGTGGCCAACTCTCAGATGAATCTCATCTCTCCTGCATCCCACCCAGGCTGAAAGTCACCTCAGCCAACATCCTCCAGGTGCAGGTGCAGCCCTCTGCTGACAACAAGGAGCTAATGGTCAAGATCCCACTGGACATGGTGGCTGGATTCAACACGTGAGTATCCCCTCGGTCGGGTACAGCAGGCCTGACAGATTCATCCACGCATTCCCCATTTTCCTTTATGCAGGTATCTGGAAAACAGTTTTAAGCAGAGGAAAGAGCAAGTGCAAAGGCTCTGAGGCGAGAGTACACTGGCTTTGTTCAAAGAATGACAAAGACCAGGATGGGGGGGGTGAGAATCATGGGGGGTGAGGCCAGCAGGCAGCCAAGGCCCGATAATACAGGGCCTTGTGGGCCAAGGTGAGGACTTGGCTTTTACTGAGTGAGAAAGGAGCCATGGAGAGTCCAGAGCAGAGGAGAAACATGGCATGTTTAACATTTTCAAAAGAATCCCCCTGGTTGCTACCCAGGAACTACTAAAATAATTCAGAAGGGGACAATGATAGCCAGGACCATAGTTTGTGGGAGCAGGAAGGTAGCAAGATTCTGGATATGCTTTGGAGGTAGGTAGAGACAACAGGATTTCCTGATCAATGAATGTAGGGAAAGAGAGGGAGAGAGATTGAGGAGGTAGGCTGACTCCAAGGTTTTTGCCTGTGCAACTGGCAGGATGGAGTGGCCAGCAACCGAGATAGGGAAGATCGTGAGAGGAGCAGGTTTGGGAAGGATCCACAGTTCAATTTTGTACATGCTGAAGCTGAGACACCTGTAAGACACCTGAATAAGGAGTTGTGTATAAATTTGAAAGCTGTTGGCATATACAGAGGATTTAAACCAGGAGAGAAATCAAAATACAGCATCTGGGACAGGGCTAAGGTAAAAAGTAAAAATGGGGATATGAGGAGAACCCAGCAAAGGAGCCTGAGAAGGGAGGTGAGAGAGCCAGAAGACAGAGAGGGACAGCGGGCTTGCTCCAGCCTGGAGCTCAGATGATGCTTACGGTGTCGGGCACCGTCACGCTCAGGCCCCTGGTGAAGACCATTGTGGAGATACACATGGAGACAGAGGCCCAAGCCACCATCCGAGTGGAGACCAGCAACAGAAAGAAGCCTCACCTTGTCCTCAGCAGTTGCTCTAACAGCCACGGGAGTTTGCGCATCAGCCTGCTGCAGAAGTGAGTGTGGCCACCTCCCACTGGGCTCCTGCCATGCCCGGGAGGAAAGCCAGGTGGCGGTCTTGCCCCATTTTCCAGATGGAGAACACTGACACCCAGAGAAAGAAAGGGGCTGACCCTCCTGACTCTTGATCTCAGGCTCCTTTCAGGGCATCTGTGATGCCAAAGAAACTTTAAGACATCCAGGGTGGAGGTCACAATGGCGGGATTTCAGGCATCATGCCAGGCAGTGGAGCAAACTTTTAAAGGTGGAGAGGAGCCACCTTCCTAAGGCCCCTCAAACCAGCCCAGGCCGGCTAGGGTGGAGCCAGGGGTAAAACATGCTCTAGAGTCAGGCAAATGCACCTCCTCATTTACTATCTGGTTGATGCTGGGCAAGTTGCGTCCCTGTGCCTCACCTTCCAAGCTGCAGTGAAAGGATTAGCTCAGGCCACAGCTGTAAGTAAGCACTCAGCTGAGTGTGTGGCGCACAGCAGGGGCTCAAAAACGTGGCCCTCCCCTTCCTCTTAGTGGGAGTATGGAGGGGGTGGGGATGCCATCTGCTATCATACCAGTGTCCAGCACAAATTTCTATGACAATCCCCAGCCCCTGCTCCCTGAGAACTCTCTGCCACCATCTACATCAGGGTCTACTCCCAGCCCTGTCTCTAACTGGCCGCCATGTAAACTTGGGCAAGTTCCTTTCTCTCCTGGATTCAGTCTCCCCTTCTGTAAAACAAAGGAGGAGCGATCATCTCTGACCTTTCCTAATCTCTCCCCTTTTCTCCTCTCTGGAAGGCTCTCCTTCCTGGTCAACCCCTTAGCCAACAATGTCCTGAAACTCCTGATGCCAGCCCTGCCTAAACTGGTGAAAAGCCAGGTGAGTGGAATCAGGATCTCGCTGGGCTGTAAATATTGCTCCCCCTGTGGGACTGGAGTGGAACTGCAAGCTGGTGCTGGGGGACCTGGGTCTCCTCGAGCGGGAAACTCTGGGTCTGGATTATTCTTTCAGCAGTGGATCATTGAGGTCATGGTACTGGAACTGCCAAAAGTCATCCACATGACCTTGAACAGTGATGTGCTGATAAATTGTTAACAATTGACTCTGGAGCAGTCAAGGGGAGGGAGACCAAATTTGTAGCATTTGCTGATTTGTCTGGTGTAAACACTCCCTCCAAGGCCAATTTCAAGCTACTAATGTAATGTCACTGAGCAGAGTTGGGAAGAAATGTGCAGTAGCACATCATTGCACGATATTTCCATCACAGGGATACAATAGACATAAATGACCCCAAGAGTAAGAGATAATAGTAAGATATAACAAAATAACTAGGAAGTTATGAGTTTTAGTTAACTTTGCTTTTAGTATAATTTACTTAGTTGTAAGTGTATATACTTTAACTTTTAATAATGTCTGAATTTGGCACTGTCTCAGAAATTCTTGAAAATTTAACAACTTACCCTCACAAACCAGTACGAGCTGGCTCTAATATACTAGTGTTTCAAACCAACCTGTGGTCCTTAGAGGTCTGTCACCCACCAGATCCTGTTGGGTTTATTTTTCTGAGTTGGTAAACACGAGTCAGTCTCATGTTATATGTCCCTTATATGCCACGGGTAAGTTAAAACTCTCTAAGTTGATTCACCCACTTTGACCATTGATTTCCACTATGAATTCCAAGATATGTTTACAACAGTGAGCCTCCTGGGGTTCAAAATACCTTGTCATATAATTAATTTTTTTTTACAATAAAACATTTTTAAAATGAAAAGACGATCTAATAATGAAACAACTTTAGGGGGGAAATACTCATAATCCCTCTACCTTAACTTAACAGCTGTTTTTCCTTTTGCATATTGCCTTCCAATTTCCATCCACATGCACTCATATGTTTATGTGGCTGCACTCAGTGTCAATACTATTTTATATTATTTAAGTGATATATATTTCCTATGCCATTGTACATTATTATTGTACATAATTATTATAGCTGTATCATAGTTAATACTTTGCTAAACCATTCCAGAGAGCCTTCTAAAAGGAGTCCCAGTGTGGGAAATTTTGTCAAATTTGGCTTTTCTTGCGGGGCGCTGTCCTGTACACTGCGGGATGTTTAGTAGCATCCCTGACCTCTATCCACTAGATGACAATTACTTCCTAAGTCATGACTACTAAAAATGTCTCCAGAAATTTCCAAACGTCTCCTAGGGGACAAAATTGCTCTCTGATGAGAACTTCTGGTGATTTGGGAGGAGCCAGAAACCCACAAAGGACAGAGATTGTTCACAAGTCTAGTTTGGTTGGTCTTGCTGGCCTCTGTTCTAGAGTCTGACATGAAGAAGAAACTCAGTAATGAAAATTCATGAAAAACAGGCTCTCAGGAACAAGTCTGATAGGGACAGCACCTGGTGGACCAGGTGCACCTTGGGCATAAGGCAAGGAGCAAACCATTGCAAAAGAGCCCAGGTTCACCAGGGACTGCAGAAGCGGGGAGGACTCTGAGCAGCTGGGTTGGCTGGGAGAGTGGATGCACCAGAGTCCTCACCCCCATAGACAAAAACCTGGCTGGCCATGAGCACAGCCGTGGGACTCGGGCCATGTGGGCCAGATATGGGCCACTATGGGACCCTCTTGCTTATGGAGCTCCTGTATTTGTGCTATCACAGCTGTGTCCCGTGATCGAGGAGGCCTTTGAGGACATGCATGAGGACCTCCTGCGCCTGGTGAGCAGTAAGTGCACTGCTCTCTCCCACCTTTGTCCTTTACTAATGAGCCGGCCTTCAGGCCCTGGCTCTGCCCAGGGGGTGCCTCCCCAGCCAGGGCTGAGCAGCAGGTGGGAAGAGCATCAGTTGATCCCTGCCTGGGATGAGCAGATAGGAATTCACAACTCTGACTTAACTAGTACCTACTAAGGACAAGTTTCCACATGACCCAGCAGGTGCCCCCAATAAACCTGAGTTCAAATCCCAGCTCTACCATTGATTCGTTCCATGACTATGGGAAGCCAAGTCCATCTCTTTATCCTCAGCTTCCTCAACTATAGAATGAGACTTATGCATCCCTGCCTCACAGGATTGTTAGTGAGGATTAAAAGTTTACAGGAAAGTTCCAAGCACAAAGCAGGTGCTCTGGCAGCATAGAGAAGTGTTTTCAGACATGTGCTGAATGGATGGATGGATGGATGGTACAGCAACCACTCTGGGCTTAGGGAAGCGGGAACAAGGGAAGAAACCAGATGCCCTCCCTGAGAGTAGCAGAAAAGGAAGGTTACAGGCTTCCATCCCCACTCAAGTTTCTGCTGTGCTCAGACACCTCAGAGTGGGGATTGGCAGGAAGAAGAAAATTCTACTGCTTACTGTTTTGGGAACTGAAGCAGCTCATTCAAAGAGGCCACCAGAGGGAAATGGGAAGAAGAGAATGGAATCAGTAGCACTAAACCCATAGAACAAATACTGGGCTGGGTGTTTTATACACTGTCTGGCTGACTGCCTGGGCAACACCATTAAGTAGTGATCATTACCCCTCATCACAGATAAGAAAACTGAGGCTCAGAGAAGTTAAATCATTTATCCAAGTTCATAGAGGAAGTTCATGATAGGGGAAGGCTTAAACCCAGTTCTTCAAATTTCAAGTATGGTGTAATGCAGATTCAAGCCAACTTTACTAGGCAATAGTCCTGTGAGTAAACTGAGGTCGAGGCGTAAAGAGACTACCTAAGGCTACTGTGGCTAGAATGGAAGTCTATCTGGGTCCTCTACTCCCCAGGGGCAGGGCAGGAGTCAGAGGATGGAGGAGAAGGTTAGTGAGTGTAGAAGGTTCAAGACCTGCTCCCCACCCACCCCTTGCACCTCCTCCTGTGCTACCATCCCCCATCTGTGCCCAACAGCTAGGGCAGCTGAGACGCCACCAGCCCATCATGGCCAAGTGGGGAATCCCAAGGCGAGCACGTGGGATCCAGTGGCCAGATCCACACCTGCCTGGGTACAGATCAGTCTTGTGGGGAGGTGGAGAGTTATAAGCAACAGGTCAGTTTTGTTCCAAACCAGGTTGCTGGCATAGAACCATGGGGTTCAAATTTCACAGTGTGAGCAGGTCATTTCACTTTTCTGAGTCTCGGTTTTCCTATCTGTAAAATGGAGGTAATAACAGGACCTACCTCCTAAGGTTGTGAGGATTCAATGAGCTAATCCTCACAGTAGGTTTCACACAGTTCAGCACTCAGTATATGTTCAGTATATCTCAGTGATTATCATTTTCATCATTGTCATTATCAGTATCATCACTCCTGCTCCCCTCTGCATACCCCACCCCATGCGATGATGCAGCTCCATTCAAAAGCAGCCCCGAAACAACCCCATCCAATGCTGCCCTTCGCCCTCACACAACTTTCTTCTTGTCCCTGAGCAGTGCCTGTTCCCATCGGCCATGACCACCTGAACTTTGACTTTCTGTCTCCTGCCATCAAGGGTAATGTCATCCAGTTCAACCTGGGGGTGAGTGTCATGGAACCTTGAGAGTAAAGTGGGGACATCATTGCCCTTCTCTGACCACTGAGGGTCAGATACCATGGATGTCTTTCAGAGAAGAAAACGCTGATCACAGTTAGGGCACAGGATGATTTAGAAAAATCTCAACAGGCTGAACATGTCCGATGGAAGCCATTCTGATGTAGAAAAAACAGCAGGTACAATCTAAGGGCCAAACGCAGAACATCGACCTTGATGATCTGTCCTCTGACCCTGATTTCTCCAGTCACGGGCCAGAGTATTTGCCTTGGGGCTTTTGGCTTTTCTCCCAGGCAAGCTTCTGCCAATCCCCAACTATCTGGTTACCTTGACACAAGGGCCCAGGATCAAAACACATCACTGAGAATCACACAGACCTAAGTTTCTCTCCCAGTTCCACCAGTCCCTGGCCGTGTGACTTTGGGCAAGTTTCTTCGCCTCTCTAAGCCTCAGTCTCCTCATCTATAAAATGTAGATAGTCATAGTCACCAATGAGAGAATGGAATGAGACTGAAGACTGGCAGGCAGGAAGCACCCCGGTAAATGGAGCTCTACACCCTGAGGCTGGACTCCCTGAGGGATCAGGCCAGCCTGAGGAGATTGAATCCCAGACCAGTTTTCATGGATCCCTTGGAAAACTGCAGCATTAAACATTTCTAACAATTTTGCTGCAGTTCTAAATTTCCCCATCATCCAAAGGGTTTGTGAGGTATCTGAAAAGTTGAAATCTAAATGCCAAATAAGACATTTAAGGTTTAAAAAATATCCAAGATTATCTCAGGGGTGCAGGTGGAGTACATGTTGCTAGGCACCTGAGACAACTCATCACCTACAGCAAGGCACTGAATTCCAGGCTAAGCTTCCTGGCAGCAAGTGCAAAAGGGGAAACAGACTGAGTGGTGGTGCGTCCCCCTTGGTTGTTATTGGGTATGCTGCAGAGTTAAAGTTCCGAGCCAACTCTCTGCTCTGTCTCTCCTTAGGCCAAGCTGTTGGACTCACAGGAAAATGTGGAAAAGTGGTTCAATGAGTCTGCAGTTTCCCTGACAATGCCCGCCCTGGACATTGCCCCTTTCAGCCTCACCATAAGGCAGGATGTGGTGAATGCTGCAATGGCTGCCCTGATCCCTCCAGAAGAAATCATGGTCCTGTTGGACTATGTGGTAAGCCTCAGTATGGGACAAAGGATGAAGCCACATCTGCATTAAGGGAATTTCCTAAATCAAAGGGGGTGCAAGGAGCCCTAAGCCCCTGGGCCTGAATCCCCTGTCAAGCTCAGTTTGAATCCCTCTAGTAATGGAGAGCTCCCTCCCTGTCCCACCCCCCAATAGTCTCTGCCTCTGACATACAGCTGTAAAGCTGAAACTTTCTCTATAATATCCGGCCCTGGTCCTAGCTCTGCCCTCTGGAACCTTATAAACCTGCTTCTTCTACCAAATAATAGTCCTGCTAAACCAAAGGGCATCTTAAATACTGTGCTGCTGCTCTGCTGTCCACTATGGAGCCCATAACAGACATTACTAATCAATCAGGGCCCTCCTTCCTATTGAGCTAGATGCTGAAACAGCCTTGGAATCCTTATCAACACAGCAGAGCAGGCAACCAAGGTATGCCACCTCCTCCAAAGTGACTGATTGGGAAACTGAGGCCCACAGAGGGAAAGCTTTGGCCCAAAGTTATGAGAGGGTATCAGGACTTGAAGTCAACTGACAAGCTACAGATAACAAAGCTCTTTAGGATTAGAACTCAGAATGAGGGGCTGAGACGATGAGAGAAAAGGAGTGGTCACCAGCAACCACATTCATGACTATAGTTAGAATTGGGTCACTTCCTGGTCTCCTCTGGGAGCAGTGAGCTGCCCACAAACCCACAACCAACACCAACCCACAGTAAAAGTCCAGGCCAAGGAGGACCCCATGTTCCACAGCAGCTGACATAGGGCTGTTTTCCACCAGTGGCAAACATGGAGCCTGGACCACCAGGCCCACCCAGCTTTTCCAGGGTTCAGTGGGGCTACTGCAGGTGTGCTTCCCCGTTCCCCTCAAGCTGACCTGCTCTGGCTTCTTCTCATTTTCAGCTTCCCGAGCTGGCCCTCCGGCTGAAGTCCAACATCAGGGTGATCAGTGAAAAGGTTGGTCCATTGGCCATCTGTAGCTTGATGGCTGTTTGCTCTGGGCTGTCTATGGGCCTCTGGGGAATAAAAAAATGTGTGGGATCACTCTCCTTCCTTCCAGGACTGACGACTTTCACAGACTGAGTCCTTGTCCTCAAGAAGATTCCAGTCTAACAGGGCAGGTTGACCTGAATCAAATAATTACTCAGATAATATTTCAGCTACAAAGGACAGATTCCAAGGGTTATGAGAGCATTACTGGGGCACCAGATAGAGTCTGGGAAACTAGGGAGGGCTTCCCTGGAGGAAAGGATATTCCAGGCAGAGGGAGAAGCAAAACCAAAGGCTGTGAGATGGAGAAAGCAACAATCCATTACAGGATTTGTGAGGACAGTATGGCTGGAGCACAGAGAGGAAGCAGGGAGGCCAGGAAGTTGGGCCTGGCTGAGGCCACATGGGGCATATGGGCTAAGGTGAAGTACTTGGGAGGCCACATACAAGTCTGATATCCTTCCAGGCTGCGGATCAGCTGGGGCACACACAGATCGTGAAGATCCTAATCCAGGAGTCCCCAGAGATCCTTCTGGACCAGGGTAATGCCAAGATGGCCCAACTCATCATACTGGAAGTATTTGCCACCAATGAAGTCCGCCGCCCCTTCTTCACTCTGGGCATTGTGAGTTCAGTTGCCTGTGATGTTGGCAGCAATCTGGGGAACCTTCACTGTTCCCATTCACCACCCTTGCTTTGCTAAACGTTTCCACCACTCTTGTCACCCAGCAGGGTTGGAGTATAGGAAGCTCTAAATTTAAGGATCAGGAGCTTTGGGGGCCCAACTCTGGCCCTGTGACTTTATTAGTTGGTCAGGCCTTTTGCTCCCCTTTTTCAGTCATTCACCGGCCACCAATGGTCCACAGGGGTAGGAGGGACATAACCTTCCAGCAAGGCAGCTCTGTTCAAGCACAAACATTTCTCCAGAGGAGGGGCAGCTGTGGACCATTAGCTGCAGCACTCAGCAGTGGAGGGATGGATGCCCTGCCCTAGAAAGGGGACCTGAGTGGGCACCAACTGCACCGACTGCAGAGGCAAAGAGAGGAGAGAGAGACAATGCAGGATTCACGGTTGAGTGCTGGAATCGTGCTTACCCAAGGAGTCTGGACAGTACCTCATTGTTAGTAGGAGGCTACAGGGAGCTGAGCCAGCTCTCCACACACAATTTCAGAGGTGCCATCCACCAGAGCTAGAGGAGGGACAGCACCCTAGCTTCCTGTGTTAAAGGATATTCTGATCCCTGACCAGCAGTGGGAATGGGCTGCCTAGTGACCACAGCCAATGGCAGGCACTTTTCAAAAGGCCATAAAGCCCAGGCCTGCAAAACATGTTTATTCTCTGGGAGCAGCTCACCTGGAACTGGAGCCTGGCTCACCCCAGCCCACAGGTCAAGCTGATGTATATCTTTGGTGCTTATATTTGAGAAATGACTTTGTGTCTGGTCTTTCTGATAATGATAATAGTTAACATTATCAGGGGGTTACTGATCATCTTTGCCCCTCACTCTCCTCAGCTCTAGAATGGGTGGCCACTTCATAGGGTTGTGGGGATCAAAGGAGATAATTATATAAACTTAAAACCACCAGACACACAATGAGGCTCCATGCATGTTGGCTGTCGCCATCATCATCATCATCATCATCATTCCCCGCAACAGTCCTACGTGGTTATTTGTTTAGTGGGGGGTGGGTACAGGTACTATCCCATTTAATAGAGGAGAAAAGTGAGACCCAGAGAGGCCAAACCATTTCCCAAGGTCACAGAGCCAGTGGCTGAGATTCATGTCAGCTTGACCCCGAAGCCTCCTTGCATAACCCCACACCCCACCCTTGATTTATCCTCTAAAAGAAATGGGGCCTGGCCTTCTCTTGTTGCAGGAAGCCAGCTCAGATGCTCAGTTTCATACCGAAGGTGACCGACTTTTGCTGAGCTTAAATGAAGTCAGGTAAACATGTATATCATTACGAAGAGTCTGGTGGTGAAAATGAGTCCCACCTGTTGATCACTGGGTTTCTTTAAACAGTGTTTTGAGTCTCCGGGGTGTGAGATACAGTGATAGCTACTCCAGGATGGGCAGAAAGGCTGCTTTACCCGGACTTGCGCTGTCAAGGACTGAGTGTGAGAGAGAGAGAAGGAAAGGGAAGTGGCCTTGCAGCAGCCATGGGGCAGGCTGACCCTGGCTGCAGGAACAGCCTGCCCAGCATCAAAACCTCAGCCTTGGGAGGCCCACTCTGGACCCCTCCAACACAGAGGCAATGACAGTCATGGAGCCCCGCCCAGAAGCACAGGGCTCCAGCTGCCTTCTGTACCCCCACCTCTTCCCCACCCCAAGCCCACCCTACTGCTGCCTCAGAGGGAGTTCAGGGGCTACCAACTGGAGTCTCCCAGGACAAATCAAGCCCATGGATGTGTTCTGATCAGCCCATATAGGGTTAGAGTTGTTTTTATTTTAATATAAATGCGTCACCAATATATAAAAATCAGAATTCCTGGCTGTCGTGAGCCTGCGTTCCTACATGGCAGCAACGAGTTGAGCTGGGAATCAGGTACCCCATTCAGGAGGAGACCGAGCTCCCCAGTTCACCGTGGCCCTCACTCCTGAGGACGATTTTTCTGTTCTCTAGGCAACTGTTTTCTGTCTCCCCACCCACCCCCAATTATAATGTAAGCTCCCGGAGGGATCATTCTCATGGGCATTTTCTGTTGCAGCCCTGATCGGATCCACCTGATGAACTCATACATCGGCCTGTTCAACGTGAGTAGTAACAGATTGTCCCTGGGGACAGAGAATAGCCCCGGGTGGTCCATTTCAAAGGGAGATATTGCCCAGAATGTGCTTTCAACAAGGTCCCCATGGGCAGTCCCTGAGTGCCAATATTATCAACCGCAAAGTCCAACCTCCTGGTTCAGGCATTTACTGAGTACCTACTGTATGCTGACTACATACAGACACAATGCTACACACTCACTTTCCTTCTGTGAAGTTTTGACCCAAAATTAGAAAACAAATCTCTTTGCAGTTTGGGTTAGAAAAATATTTCATTATTTGGAACTGTTTCCAAATTGCCTATTTGGTTGCATTCATTTGTTGGCTAAGCAGCATATTTATTTCCTTTTTATAGTTTAATGTCATAAACTCATCTCAGTGACCCTGCACAGCCCCTTCCCTCTGGTCCTCAGTTTCTGCATCGGAGTCAGACCAAATCAGAGATCTGAAATTGTCTGAGTCCTGTCTCCTGACCTGGTGTCGGTTCTAGGGGTTCACTGGATTTTTGTTTTCTTACTTTCTTTTCTTTTCTTTCTTTTTTTCTTCTTAGTCCTTATGTTTTCATTCGGTTTTTTAAATTTTTTTTACTAAGATTTTTAAATGGGGAGATTTCCTCACAAAAATCAGGACTTCTAGCTTCCCTTGAGAAGCCTAACCTCAGGAAGCACAGGGCTAAATTTCCTCGGGCACATTCTGCTGGAGCCCTTGAGAGTGGGGGGCGGGGGTACATCGTTCTGATGTACCCCAACCCTTTCACCTGCTGGCTCCCAGGGCCAGCTGGGTTTGTGTCACCCCCAGGAGCTCTTGCAGCTTTGACTGGCAGGAGACGGGATTCTGGTCTCTCCACTGGCTGCCCTCACCATGGGGCTGAGGAAAGGAACAGCTGTGAGGACTTGGGATTCTCAGCCAGGGTAACAGTGTCCCTTCTCTCTCACAGCCTGAACTTCTGAAAGACATCACTACTGAGATCCTTGACTCTGTTCTGCTGCCAAATGAGAATGGTGCGTCTCTTTGTGATTCATCTCCCCACTTCCCAGGGCTTTGGGGGTGGTACAATACTTCCCCTACCTGAGTCTTCATTTGGGGCCCCTTTTATTCATTTGCCACCCTAGTTCACATTCCACCTCAGGAAGCCTTCCCAGTGACACAGCTGAAAATGAGCTCTCCCATCTCCAACTTCCTTTCCTGGTTCCAGAGCCTAGGCATGCAAAGATGACCCAGGCAATGTCCCAGCCTCATAGGGATGACAACAGGAGACAGAGGTGTAAACAATGAGAGCACTATTAATGTGCCTCAGGCAGACTCGATTCAAGCCTTGATTCCCCCTCTTGCTGGCTGCCTGTTTATTCTGATAAGCTGCCTTACTATTCTGAGCCTGTTTTTCTGCGTGTAAAATGGAGAAGTAAGAGTACCTTCCTCAGAAACATAAAAGAGATGCGGTGTGTAAGGTGCGGTGGGGGTGCAGGGAGGTATGTCTAGCACTGTTGGTGCTCAACATTTCTCAGTCATTGCTATTGTTAAAAATGTTATTTGTGTTAGTAGTGGAGGAAGCCAAGAGAAAAGGTGGAATTATTCTAATTTAAGGCTCAGGTCATGGGGCTGGGGAAAATTGGTAACCTATGCCAACCCATCTTTTTCATTTATCTTATTAGAATGAGAAATCTAAATTTCCACACTTCTGCTGTGGGTGATGGGAGGTCCTGATGGTTCTTAAGCAGGAGTGTGAGAGGATGCGAAGGGAGCCCTTTGGAGCAGCCACAAGCCGGTGCTAGAGGCAAAGGTTAAGGAGATGAGGCTGAGTGGATGCTGGGCAGGGGAACAGATGAGCAGAGGCAAAAGGGACAGTGTGAATTGCGCGTGCCAGGTCCTGAGTCCCCCTCTGTGAACTGTGAACTTGCCCACAGCTTTCCGGTCTCGCCCCAGGCCCACCAGTCTCTGACCATATTTGTTATTTCAGGCAAATTAAGATCTGGGGTCTCAGTGCCCATAGTGAAGTCCTTGGGATTCAAGGCAGCTTCATTGTCTCTGACCAAGGTGAGTGGGGTTAACTTCCTTCCCCAGGGGAGGGCACAGTCACTGGGAAAGCCCTGGACTGGGAGGTCGGGCTCCAACCTTGGTCCCTCTGGTCACCTATGGGGGACCTTGGGCAAGTCTCTTCTTCTCTCAGGGCCTTACTTCCTCATCTGTAAGTGGAAGAATACAACGGTCCTTGCCTGGGATCAATACTCCTCCAGCTTATTCCGCCCTACCTGTCATTCATTTGTCCTTCACTCATTCAGTAAGGCCTGGCACAGTAGATGCTCAACACATGCTTATTGAGCATATGACTCTCCTTGGCAGCTGCTGGGGAGAGGAGTTGTAGCAGCATGTGTAACACACACTCCCAAATATTATCATTAATAATATTTAACATCCCATAATCATTTTGTGATAGGCACTGGGGTATAGGAAGCATCTTGCTCAGTTTTCACTACCACCCATGAGGTACATCCTATTGTAATCCCAATGTTACAGATGGGGAAACTGAGACTGAGAGATGACAAGTCCATTTCCAAGGTCACACACCCAGTAGGTGGCAAAGTCGAGATTTGCACTCAGCACCTGCCCAGATAACCTCCTGATTTGGGCCCTAATATCCACATGAACAAATGACAGTGAGGTTGTTCCATCTCAGTCAGCTGACCAGCAGGAATTTACTAAGCATTTATTATGTGCCAGGTACTGATCACAACTGTGAACAAAACAGACAGAAACCTCTGCCTTCTTGGAGTTTCTAGTCCACCCTAGAGAGGGAGAAACATTGAAAGCAGAATTATTAACAATTAAGAAAATCCACAGGTAACTGTACACCCTTCTATGGCCAAGGTGCCAAACCAAAGAGCAGGGAGGCATTTCAGACAAAACCTGTAACTCTTATTAGTCCTGATTTGTCCAAAGTTGTGGATGGTACCACTGAATTCCTGAGCTGTTCAGTTCCAGAAAAATCTTCAGAGTAAAGAAGTCTCGAAAGTGCCCCACCCTTATTTAGAGTCAACTTTGGAGGAAGAGCAGGAGGCTTTGTTAACTAGCTTCAAAAGCAGGTTGACACTTATTATCAGCTGCCCACCTCAAAAACTGTGTCCACCCTTCAGCTGTCTGTGATGGAGAATAATAAGAACAGTACTGTGGATGGTACCAAGAGGCTGAGAGTGTAGACTCAGAGGACCCATTCAGATCCCAGCTCTGCCTCTCTCTAGCCATGGGACCACAAGCAGGTCCTCTGGCCTCTCTGAGCCCAGCTTCCTCACCCATAAAGCTCAGCAGATGTCTGAATATAAAGGTCATGCACTAATGGACTACACTACAATAACCTGGTTCAAACATAAGGAATTTATTAACCTAAGACATATACTTGCACTTGATTCATGTTGGATGGACAACTGGTGTCCATACAACTGTATGGCTGAAACTTGGTTTATTTCACATATCTTATTAGGGGGCATTTGGCAACTGTCCTCCTTTATTTTTTTTTTCCTTTTAATCAACTTACATTGCATCATTCACAGTTCAGGTTGGAAAAGTATTTGATTCTTTAGAACTGTTTCCAAATTTCCTATTTTGATCTATTCATTTGTTTTGGACTAAGCAGCACATTTATTTCCTTTTTATAGCTTTACAATATGTTTTAAAATCTAGTTGAACAAATGAATGAGTAGTTAGATATGAGATAAAGCAAGTATGGTTTTAAAAAGTTAATAGTAGAATCTAGGTGATGAGTATATAAGTGCTCACTATAAAATTCTTTCAACTTTACTGTATGTTTGAAAATAATCATAATAAAATGTTGGGGGAAATCTAGTGGATTAAGTTCTTCATATCACACTTAGTTTAAAAAAAAGAAAAAAGGCAGAGCCTTGTTAAAAATGTAGCTGCCTAAGGCCCAGTGGATACAACCAGGAATCTCCACTTGATGAAACTTTGGGAGAGTTTTGGTGATCAGCTGGGATTGGGGGCAACAACCCTATACGATCCCACACTCTGTGCAGATACTTTACCTGTGCTCCAGACCCCTGTGTGGTATCACTTTTCACACACAGACCCTATTCCTCTGACCCTTCCAGGAATTCTGTATGAGTGAGTTCATGGTCATGACCCCCAATACCAGTGGCCACCTTTAGGAGGACAAACCAGCATAAATCACAAGGCAGGAGATAAAAAACCCATTTGACTTTTCTCCTCCAATTCCAGGATGCTCTTGTGGTCACCCCGGCCTCCGTGTAGAACCCCAGACCCTTCTCCTCTCTTCCAGTGAAGACTTGAACAGTGGCCATCCAGGGTAGGCTGGATTCCAGTGAAAATCAACTCTGTATGTGTCCCTCTCTGCAATAAATAAATACATAGTTGCCTATGACTTCTGCAGTCTGGAATGTATCTTTGTCCCAATTCTGGAGTCACTGTGCCCCTGGAGGGCTTGGGACCCAAGGCACATCTGGGTCGTGTTCAGGCACTTCTGAGCCAATCTGGGCCACATCTGAGCTATGTTTGGGCCACATCAGACTACCTGTGGATAGTATCCAGGGACTTGGACACCTCCCTGAGCATCAGGAATAAGAAAGCCAGTTGTGCCCTCCTGCCTTCTGTGCTGGCCTTAAGATCTCCACTTATGCTGGGACAACCTCTTGGCCAGGAGTGCTTTGTTGATCTTGGCAGTGTGGTGGGTTGAGGGCTCTCTAAACAATGTGACTTTGGAGGTCTTGAGTTCTCACCTGGTCCCTTTCAATGGTTGTTTGACCCTAGGACGCAGTCTCCCCTCAGTGCACCCTGGGTTTCTTCTCTATAAAATGGGGAGGATCATGGTCCCATCTTGGAGGGCTGTAGTGAGGATGAAATGAGAGAGAATGGTTCCAGACACATGGGAGGTGCTCCATGTCATCTGCAGGTGATGTCATTGTCACTGTTGTTATTTGGCCTCTAGGATGTCGGGCCTTATCACTGAAGGCCATTCCTACTTGGACAGCAACATGACTGCCATTGTCTCCCTGACCTCCCTGAAGCCAGCAGGTTCAGGACAGACAATAGGGCTTCTGTTCTCCAGACTCCAGGCCTGGCCCAGCACACACAGGCCTTCAGTTACACAGGGAACAGGGGCCGGGGCGGGGTGGGGGCTGCCTTGCAGGAAGGGATGGGGGAGCGTTTCAGGAAAGGCATTCCTCACCCCATGGGGGCAAGGTCTAGACAGGCATAAGAACAGCTCACTGCCTGGAAAGGCGGCCCAGAAGGAGCTTCCATCTACAAGACACAGGCAAAGCCAAGAGGGACATGGAGGGGCCAGGATAAGACCCTGCATAAGGTGCTTGTACCAGGGTCAACGAACACCTACTAGGGAGTTGCTGAGCTCTAGGTGCTGCAGCTCCCATGCACCGCTGACTCCTAGCCACTCTTAGTGTGGTCTGTGTCCCCACACATCACATGCCATTCTTTCTCTAAATCATATTAAATCTGAGTGTGAACCCCCCACTAACAAGGCAGATAAGAAAGTTGATCTCCATCTTGTCTGGGGTAGGTCGGTCTGGTTCCTTAGAGCCATACAAGGACCTGTTGGGATTTGAGGAGCCTGGAAGATGGGACAGAGCCTATGGTCTTGGGTCCCATCTGGTGCCGATGGAAGGACCTCTGTCACAGCTGACGCTATCCTGTCAGAAGTGAGCAGCTCTGATACCCAGTCCAGCTGGAGCACTTCTCCCAAGCAGCCATGGCTGCAGCTCCTGGATTCCAACTACCCACAAACCATGGGGCTTCCTGGAGGTTAGTGGATAAATAATCCCACTTCCTCACCCCATGGGGGTAGGGAACAACTCCACAACACCCAGCGGGCCTGAGCCCCAGGTGCCCCTGGAGCCACTTGCTTGATGACACACCTCTATAGGCTGTCTCCTTCCCTCACTCTCCCTCTTCCCTACCAGTGTCTCCTGGGATCACCTCCCAAATAAGCTACCTGCATTCAAATCTGTCTGGGGAATCCAAACTAACACAAGCACCTGCTCTACAGGTACTGTACTAAGTGTCGACAGACTTTTACTTGCCCAGCCTTCCCCACAACCTATAGCAATCCCACTTGACAAATGAGGAAATTGAGGCTCTGACTACATGACCACCAAGCAGCCCCTAACCATCACTCCACAATGTCTCAGTTTACTTTCTGCAACTTCATCACTCCTCCTTAGGTCTCTGTCTCCCATAGGAGAAGGTGTCCTCTGTGCTGGCCTCCTTCCATTTGAGCCCTGAAACACAACACCATACATGCACCCCTGAGGCAGGAGCCCCGAATCCAGAACTCCAAGACCCTACCACCTTCCTGGGCTTGGGGAGGGGAAAGTTGTTTGCTTCTCTCTGAATCTTATTAGCCACAGAAAATAAAAAACACCAAGTGGTATTTCAATAATCTCTCCTGCCTAGAGAGAAGTATTACTGTCTTTGTCTTACAGATGAGAGATCAAGTAACACCCAGCCAGTGAAATGATGGGAACCAAAGCCTCACCCGCTTACCCCAGCTTCCCGCCTGAATCCGCAATCAGACAATGTCCCAGTTTTCTCATTCCTCAATAGAACAGTAACAAATAACAGCCTCTGCTCCCTGAAGGCTACTCAGTTCCAAGCATGGAGTAATGCCCTTGCTGTGTGTGGGATTTACAGTTCCATTTTACAAGATCAATAAAGTGAGGCTCAGAGAGAGGCAGTAATAGATTTTGTACCTCTCTGTGTCCTTCCTAGGCTTTCCCTTTTATGGAGGGGACCTCCAGGAAATCTCTCATCAGAGATTAATCAATGAGGTAAAAGAGATTCCATGAGGCGCTAGCTAAATTCTTCCCTCCTGTCTCATTTAGAGAGGCCAGATTTTGAAAGAGAAGGGAGATATCCAAGTTCCACCAATATTCCTGATCTGACCCTAGTGACTCAGATGAGGAAATTAACCCCAGATCCTTTCTCTGCCCCAGGCAGAAGGAAGATCGCATTTGGCAGTAATGTTGAGACTCAATCAACAGAAATGTGGGAGACCTGCCATCTTTTAAAGCATCTTCCAACCCAAAATGACACTTAGATTCTAGAATAAGTACATCCCATTTAAAATATGCTCCTGAATCATACTAACATCAGCCATTCACTTTTGATAATAGCCAAAGTAAGAATTTCACAACTAGCTAACATTGACCTAACATTGCGAAACTTTTTTTTTTCTAGTTATCTTTTCCAAACTTCTTAGGGTAAACATGGTTGACTTTTACCACGAAGGGGGAAATGATCTCATTTATTCAGTAAATATGATCTAGCACCTACTCTGTGCCTGATGAGCAAAAACAAGGCAAGGATGCTTCCAGCCCTCATGAAACTTTTGAGGGGGATGACATTAAACAAATCAGCCAACAAAAGCACAAATGACTACAAATTCCAAGAAAAAGCAAAAAGGAAAACTACAGTGGGGTACTGAAACAGAGGTTTATGCAGGACAGTCTGACTTAGAAAATGTGCCAGGAAAGGCCTCTGGGAGGCGGTATTTGAGCTGAGACCTGCAGGATGAGTGAGTTGGGTAAAATGAGGAGGGAGGGGTCGGGGCAATGAGAATAGAGTGTGAAAAGGTCCTGAGCTGAAAACAATGTAGATATATCCCAAAAACTTAAAGAAAGCCAGCGCAGCTAAAGAGATTAGCAAGAAGTGTTAGGGAATGAGGATACAGAGGAAGATGGGAGTCAAACCACATAGGGCTCCCACAGCCAAGGCAAAAAAATAAATACACTAATCTGTGTGCAACAGTGAATCATTGACAAGTGTTAAGCAAAAGAGTGATATGATCTGAATTCTATTATACATTTGTAAGAGGGAAGACATGAACCAGAGCTACAAAGTGACAGATTCCCCATAACTTTGGACAGGGAGGGTGGGATGGATAACAATGTCTGTTTTATTGTGAGAAGTCAGGGAATTCATTCCTGCAGTGTCCGAACTGACCACCACACTGGAGCCCATTTCTCTGTCCAGTGCCTTTCTGAAAAGGGGTGAAAACAGGGCAGAGGGGGCCTGAAGATGGAGGGAACTCCCTCCCTTACGTATGACTGGCACTTCACACACTCAGAGCTGCTGTCTTATCTGATTCCCATACACCCCATGTAGGAGAAGCAGCCATGTGACACAGAGAAACTGAGGCTCAGAGATGTCGGCTCATTCTTTAGCTCATTCATTCGCTTATTTGACATTGATTGCACACTAGGTAAAGACAAGAATATACATGCCCCAGTCCTTGAGAACCACGGACAAGTGGAAGAAGACAAATGGCATGTCCTGGGTCAAGATCTAGTTTCAGGAACACCTGGGCTGGAATCCCACCTCTCTGCCACTTTTGTAGAGGGGCAGCTTAACCGCACCGAGCCACTTTCTCTATTGCTTAAAAGGGATGAGGGTGATGATGGCGATGCTGCTGCCGCTGCTGACAGTGATGACGGCTTGTTGTGAGGGTGAAAAGCATTTCCTGAGTGCTCATTAGTAGGTATTTGTAGTGTAACCACAGCCTTATAACTCAAGCTTCAGGGTGATTTTCATGACATGTCCCTCTTCTCCATCTCGGGCAAAGCGAGGTCCATGTGAACCTCAAGGGAGCTGAATCAATAGGCAAATGCCACCACGGTGACACCAGCAGGGATATATGGAGCCAGCTGCTGCATTTGCAGAAGACGATGCCGACTACCAGCACAGTGTAGCCACTAAATGGCAAACCAACAGAAGGTGGTCAGAGGAAAAGCAAGATAAACAAAGTGCCCATCAGCCACTTACCCCTTTGGGAATGAATGAAAAGCACTTCTTGGCACATATATACCATAACTTACAAAGCAGAGACCACAGGCCTACGACTGAACATCTACATCTGTGAGGCCATTGAGTGGAAAGGGAACAAAGCCAAAGCCCAGATATCTGCAAACATGTTAGAGTAAATTCTGGGCCTTATCATACCTCTTATGCATGTATGATAAGGTATATTAGCATGTATAGTTGTAGTTGAAGGTGTCAAAACTCTCTCCCCCAATAGAAAATGAATACTTCAGAGTGAGGTTAAAGGTTTCTATACTTGGCTTCATTCTGGTAAAAGCGTTGAAAAAGATCTGGATAAAACTATTGGATAAAGAAGCATAACCAAAACATCCATATTTTCTTGTTATAAACAAGGTGTAAATAGCTGCCAAAATCTAGGCATACACTATTGATAGGGAAATGATATAAAATCTGAGATAAAGGTGAATGACTGAAAATACCTGACACAATAATAACTAATAATGATGATGACAGTAAATTATGGAATGCTCACTTATGCCAAACATATGCTAATTATTTGACATATTTCACCTCCTTCAATCATCATGGTGGCTCCACAATAGATACAATACTATCCTCACATATGGATAAGGAAACCAAGCCAAAGAAAAATAGTTACTGTCCCAAAGCCACACACTGAACCAGGACTCACACACACATCTGTCTGGCCCCAAAGTCTGTGCACAGAAAACCTGCCTCTTAATGAACAGTGATCCATCACCTTTGATAAAACACAAGGCTTGTTGAAAAACCTCATGAGACATGCACCTAAGAAATAAAAATTAACTCAAATTTTACATACAACTCCAGAGTATTCAGATACACGTATTTGCTGCAGGAGGCCCCTGTGAACTCCCTCTACTGGGAAAAATCTGAGACTGATTACACGAAAGAAAACAAACTAGACAGGAGTACTGGACACACTGCTGAGTTCCAGGAAACTGGATACACAGAGAAGCACACACGTATAATAATATAAGTGCATACACATGTGTGTGTACTTCACTAAGAAACACCCATGACCCTGGTTCTGTAGCTCAGTTGGTTAAAGTGCCATTTTGATACACCAAGGATGCAGGTTTGATCCCCAGTCAGGGCACATACAAGAATCAACCAATGAATGCATAAATAAGTGGAGCAATAAATAGATGTTTTTCTCTCTCCCCATTCCTCTTGCTCTCTAAAAATCAATATATAAAAATTTAAAAATAGAAAGATTTAAAAAAAATACTGATGAAACCACAAACATCCTGATGGTGACGTCTCCACCCACAGTCCATTAAGAATTGGTCCTGCATTATCACCAGCAACTAGGATCCCAGCCAAGCCTTGGCCAGCCTTGAAAGGACCCTCTCTGTCAAGAGGAGGAAGGTCCCATCACTTAGGGTTTGGCTACAAGGAGCCCTGCTGTTCAGCCCGCTAAGCCACCTTCTGGGAAACCGCTCCATGTGGGTCTGGGATTAGCAGAATTCAATGGCTGCCCCACCTCCTAAGGCTGAAGCACAGATAAAGACAAGGAACCAGGAAGCCCAAGGGGCCATCAAAGGCTGCATCCCGGATGTGCCTCTCCCCACTCCTGCAGTCGGGTTCACTCTTTGGGTCCAGAAAAACCATTAGCGACCCCAAAAGCAAGGGCCGCACCCACAAATGGGCATCACAAATTTCACCTAAATGATCACTCAGTTTTCCTCAAATGTCCAAGAAAAATAAGACCCAGGACAGCTGGGTTTTGTCTTCTACTTATCAACACGTGCAAAATGCTTGGTTCTGCTCTCTGAGAAAAGGTCAAGGGACATTCGTTCTATGCATCTGATACTTCTGCAAAGCCCCAAATGGGGCCGCTGGCAACCGAAACTGTACTGGAGGTTCACAGTATGAGAATCGCATGGGGTTGGAAAGGGCCAGGCAGCAAGCACGCTGAGCCTGCTGGAAGGCAGGGACCCAACCCAGTCCCCCCTCTCCCAGAGAGCAGGAGCAGACGTTAACCACGCCCTTTGTCAAAATCATCTCCCTCTCCCAGAATATCGCTTTCCGGGGCTGTGATCACACCACACAGCAAGATCGTGACAGGGTGTACAAAATCACAAAAATCCCAGTGGTAGGAGCTGAACAGATGACTGAGCATAGCCCTCTTAAATAGGGGGAAGCCTGAGACCCAGAGAATGGGCTCTGGAAGCTTGGGAGCCGTTAAAAAAGGAAGGTGAGAAGAAGGCTGGCTTAGAGACTGAAATTTCTAAAATGCAAGTGAAGAGGACAACACGCATCTGAAAACATTTCACTCTCACTCCAGAGGCACTCTGGGAAAGGAAAGGGGCCTGAGCTCATCATTATGGAGCAACCTGCCGATAATGCCCCCAGGCCTGCATTCAAGCTCTCGCCCACTCCGGGCGCTCCGCACATTTCCAATCCTCATGCACCCATCGCTCCATTTCCAAATATTTGCAAGTCTGGATGCTTCCTATCACATGCACGTGATATAAAATGTCTTTTAACACAGAGACACCTTGTCCAAAGCGACCCCAAGTTCTCTCTTCGGGCCCCACCCTAGTATTGGTCACTCAATGCTGAGTGCCAACTATGGACAGGGGACAGTGCTGGCACCTTTGCTAAAGGGCTCTCAGTGATTGACACCTGTAGCCTTACGGACTGTGCAACTATGCCATTGAACCAGCTCCCATGTGACTCAGAGATAACAGACCTGTAAAGGTTTAAATTAGGCAGGGGACAGTACCTGGCCAGGCTGCCCCTCTGAGAAAGTTCAGGCACAATGAGCATCTTTCAGAAGGAAACAGACAAATGCCACAGTCATTAGCAGGTACTGATCTTGGAAATCAGCCAGTATCACGCCACCCTTATCGGCACACCTGAATCACATGTCTTCATGTCTGATGACTCTCTCAAGACACATGGGTCTATAAGAGTGGGATGCATTTTCCACCTGACAGGTCTAGGCAACCAGCAGGAGGAGACGCAGCTTCTGAAAACGTTCACGTATCAACACCGACTCATCGACACTGGGCAAGGTAAGACCTCACTATCAAACTCAGGAAAGAATGGGTCGAAACTTGGAGTTGGAAACAAGCATAGGAGATTCATCAAAGGATGGTACTAGGGTTTTGCATTTTGAATCTCTTCAGCCAGGCCCCTTCCCTGCTGGAATGCACACAGCACTCTGCCTAGCACGGTAGCTGTCACAATTGCTGGCTATGCCACTGCTTTTAGAAAATGGGGATTTGTTACTGGGATTCTCGAAGAGCCCCACTAAAGACCATGTCTAACAATATTGCCATCAACTCAGTCACAGGCATGGAATTCTATTATTTTTCCTCACGGGATACTTACATGTCACTTGAGACAGTAAACACCAGTTTCTTACAGATGAGGGTAAAATTAGAAAAAAAGGAAATGTGATTTTTTTTTTTCATAAAGCCTAATTTGTTCAATGTGAGGGACTGTCGCTGGCTTCCAATTATGTCCTTCCAAACTTTCTGCAATAGTGGCTTTTTGGCGATGCTGGAAAATAGCAGGCAGCTGGATGTAGTCAACGCCTACCTACCCATGGCAACAACAAAGGTTGACAAAGCCCGATTTTATAACACTTGTCTGGAGAAAAAAATCCAAACACAGAACTCCAGAGACTACTTGCTTCACTGAGGGCAAAGGCCCTAAACACAAGCCTCCATGCACCCAAAGTGTTAGAGACAAACAGACCTCGAGAGTCACGGTAAGGGAGGAACACGACAGTCAGGAAAGGAAGAGGCCTCCACTGAGTCACACAGCTGAGCTCAGAGCCGAACGGGGCTCTCCTGTCTGGGAGTGAAGCCAGCTCTGTGCCTTTGCTGGAAAGAGGAGTAATAGCACTACCTAGTGCCTGGACTTGCTGGGACGGTATAGAAGATGTTACAGATGTTCGCAGACTGACCAGTGCTCAGTAAGTACATATGTTTGGACGGACCCAACCAACATAGGTAGAGCTGAGTACACACATTTATACGATCACTCCAGTTACGGCTGCTCAACCCCAGAGGAGAGAAAGAGACCACATGACCTGTGGGCCACACGTTGCCCTGCACACAGAAGGGGCCTCAGAAGGTGGATGACCTGGTTAACACAGCCATTCCCTTCATACACAAGGAGCCCATTTTGGGCCAAACACTAATGCAATAGTGTAAACTGGCTAATGCCACCATTGAACCATGCCAGTGCTTTTCCGAAGCAGAAGAACGGGCTTAAAAAGACAGTGGACCTCAGATGGTCACACAGGGAGATAACTCTGGCCTCTGCACACTGAGTTAAAATGACAGGACAACCCAATAACCAAAGAGGTGCCAGGTGCCAGGTGTCAAGCCTGGGAATATCTAATTGGGAGGTTTAGTCCTAACTGGTAAAACTACCAGGGGGCTGGACATTGGGCACAGGCAAACGTAACTGCCCCCTCTATATCAGTTTCACCATCTGAATAATGAGGACACAGGCCTTCCCTCTTGAGGTTGTGCAGAGACTTTAAAGCAGTTGATATCCATTAATATGCCACAAAGGAGTGGGCCCTTGGTAAGCTCACACCAACAAAGATACTGCTGTATATCACCTGACCAGAAACAGGAAGAGACACTGACCACCACTGGAGAGGTAACACCTGTAGCTGGATCATTCAAAACTGTCCAATTCCCCAGACGGTGACTCAGAGCACTCCAAGGATGTCTGAGTCAGGAAGACTGGCAGGAGAATGTGGGACCCTGAAGGTAAGGGTGTAGCCTGTACTCAAATGGTGCCACCAGCCCATAGACACCTTTATGCAAAGGTGAAATAGAAGTCAATAGAGGCCCTTATTGAGATATTGACTGCCATGTGCTGAAACATTGCCCCTTGAATACACTATGCAAACTACAATATCTACAATGTGACTGGCACCTTCCTACAAGAGCTAGGATCTTGCGTGCACATCCAGTACAAACATCCCGGCAGTCCTGTAGCCTGTCGTGAATTGGTGTCTGACGAAGCCCTCCTTTGCAGATATTGGCTGCCAAGATGCTGACCCTCTGGGCCCTGGCCATCACACTGGCTCTCCAGGCAGAAGCGCTTTACCTGCTGATTCCTTCTTCGCTGCCAAACATTTCTGCCAGAAGATTCCCTCTAGAAGTGAGACAGCCCATCATAATTCCCCAAATTCCAGGTGGCTCTTACTTTAGAAAACAACCAGCTGTGACAACCCCTGCAGCCAATGACTTCACGTCTAGCAGCACACTCGATGACTGTAAGTAAGAACTGTTCTACCTGTACACATTTAACTTTCACAGCCCTCACACATGCTTCTCATTTCCAAGACAAAAGGCTAGTTATTCCTTCTGATCAAATTGTTCTCAGAGAGGAGGTCGTATCAGAATCACTTCAAAAGCTTGTTAACAAAACAGCCTCCTGGCCCCACTTCCAGGCCTGCTGTAGCAGTACCACAGTAGTACTGGTTTTCTTTCTTCTTTCAATTTTTATTTATTGATTTTACAGAGAGAGGGGAAGGGGGAAAGAGAAACAGAAACATTAATTTATTATTCCATTTATTTATGCATTCGTTGGTTGATTGTTGTATGTGTCCTAACCAGGGAATCAACCCTTAGCCCTGGCGTATCAGGACGATGCTCTAACCAACTGAGCTCCCCAGCCAAAGCAGTACTGGTTTTCTAGTAAGATCAAGATGATGCTGAGGCTGCTTGTCCGCAGTCCACACATTGGGTAGCACATGTCAAAGCAAGCTTGGAGAAGCTCTTGGACCCAGAAACCTTTCTGCTCGCCTACCTTTTATATGGTTCTTATCACCTGGACTGTGCCAGAAAATCTCACAGCTTCTCAGTGCTGGGCCCTAGAGCTTGGCCCAGACACCCATGGGTGCTTAAAGCACCAAACGTGTTGCCCAGGAGCCAGAAAATAAGAAATCCAGGACGATCTCAAAATGCCTTGACCAGATTCATGCTTCAACTCCCTTCTCAGATGTGGAATTCTGTCCCTTAGCAATTCCCAGGGCAAGAGGGCAAAGGAGTCAGGAATTGCAAGACTTAGCAAAGAAGTGACTCAATGTGGGGAATGAGAAGGGAATAATACTCATCAGCAAACAAAGGCCAGCAGGAAAGTCCTCATGCATCCCTTAACGGCCATGAAGCCATGGCCTAGGTCGGCCTTCCAGCATGACAGGACAGGGTGACAGAAAGTCAGGGCCTGCCTATGAACCACAGGGCCCAGCCTCACAGCTCACCCACCACTGCTTTGCTTCTAGGAACATGTGCTCCACTCTTCTAATCATCCTGCCTTATTACAAATTACTTCAAATATACAGAAAAGTTCAGACAGTGGTGAAAAGGAGAGCTGTGTACACATTAAGCAGTATTTGGCGGTGGTGGTCATTAATTTCATTGTCAAACATTCAAAAACTGAAAAGATATACAGAGCAAACACCTTTGTAACCAACATCTACTTTAAGAATAAAACCAAGATAGGGCTGAAGGCGCTAAGACTCCCACTAAGCTCGATATCCATCCCACCTCCACTACCTCCCAACCAAAGGAAGCTTCTAGCCTGATCATTTTTCCCTTGCCTATTCCTTCTTGTTATGTCATGTGGCTACTCATTCTAAAAATCTGTGCACCATATTATAAATTTCTCAAATGAAGGCCTGCTTGAATTGGCTCTCATACTCACATTTGTGACATGATTTTTCCATGAGAAATTTTTGTCCATTTCATTGAAATATTCTACCTGATGAATCCTTCATGATTTACACATCAACTTTGTTTTTGTCCAGTTGTGTGCTACTCTAAGCAATGTTCACCTAAACACTCTTGTGCGGGTCTCCAGGTTCGCGTGTGCAAGACATTCTCTAAGACATATACCGGGGATGGAGGTGCCTCCATATCACCCTACACAGGCAAGGCTCCTCCAGATTGAGGAGCCCTGGGCACAGGAAGCAGCAGAAAAGCTCTGAAAGCTGTGGCCGAGCACCTTGACAGGGGCTGATATAACTAGGCTTTTTCTTCCTGCTACTCTACTGGGCCAAGAATCTTGTCCCTCAGTCCAATTCACTTCCTTGCTAGGCAGTCAAGGATGTTCACCCTCCAGGTGTGACAGCTCTTCTGAGTTTCTTCCCCCACCCAAGACTTCAAGAGGAGCATGACAGGATAGAACCCTGTGACTTCAGAGCTCTGCTACTTGGCTTCTGACCTTAATCCCTTCGCCACCATCTTCGGAGACCCAGGTCTCTGACTTGATTCTCTCCAGTGTGGAGGCAAGCCCATGGTTAGCACCTCCTCCACCCTCATGATAACAATGCTGCAGGAGGTCCAGTAGAGGCAGCATGTCAACAGGCAGGACCTCCCAAGGTTACACAAGGGGGAAATGAGGCCTACAGAAGGAAACGCCTTATTCAAACTCACCCAGATGGAAACCAGGAAACTCCAGACCTGTCAGCTCCACCATTTCCCTCACCTACCTCCTGCCTACTTGGCACTTAAAAAGCCACTCACTCATTTCATCCAGCACCCAGTGACCCACACTGTAGACCCTATTATGCAGTTGCAGAGACTGGGGTTCAGGAAAGAGAAACTGCTGCCTTATTCACTCAGCAGTCAAGGGGCAGAGCCCAGTCTATATTATATTCTGGGCTACTGGGCTCAAAAGCTAAACATGATCCTTCCATTCCATACCCAGCTTACTTCAAAGTAACATACTCAAACCAGGCTAGACTCAGGAACGTGCTAACGAATGTTAAATCTTAACAGGGACGAGGATATTTCTAGGTGGCCAGGCTATCCTCAGGGAGAACAGAGCAGGGATTGGTGTGTCCAGGGGCAGGAGGCAGAGTGCCTGTGGGCCCCACAATTCCTCAGTGCTGGCCATCCAGCTGGGACGGTTCCTCTGGCTGCACCAGCTGGGCAGCTAAAGGTAACAACCTGTCTCTTTGCCATTAACAGATCTGAACAGCACCCTGCCCCCACAGATTGAGAAGATGCTGATGTGTGCAGAGGTGGATCTGGCCGGGGTGCTTGGGACTGTGTTAGAAACGGTGTCCAACTTGGACCTGCTGTCGGTGTTAGACATCGCTTCCCCGCTCAATCTCCTCGGTGGAGGTGGCAAGAGTGGTCCCCAGGACAAGGGGAGCACGAGCAAGCCCTCAAAGCGCCCACCTCCATTGCTCTCCAAAGCCACTGATACTGTCAGTAACCTGATACCCTCCGCCCAAGGGGTCGTGGGAAGCCTACTAGGCAACAGCGTAAGGAGGGATCCTGCAAAACGAGGTGACACTTCTCTTCTCCCTAATGCCCCCCTGCCCCTGAGTGGTGTGCTCAACCAAGTCACCGTGCCCGCAAGTGGTGTGCTCGACCAAGTCGGCAAGCTCAAAGAATCCACCGAGGGCATCCTGAAGAGTGTGGTGCCAGGTGGCATCACTGATGCGCTCTCGGGCATGCTGGGAAATATTAACCTGAAAGAACTCTTGCTAGGGTAAGTGCTTCCTTGACCCTAAGGTATGCCACAAGACAAAGCTTATGTTCGGGGATACTGAAGTTCGTCCTCCCATAATCCCATGGAAAGAGACAACCATGTTTTCACAAAGCAATACTCCAGCTCTGCTAAAACTCTGCCCTTTGTGTGGTAATGTGAATGCAACTTGAGTCTAAATACTGGGCAGGGAACAGGACTGGGTAATCCAGGGGATGGATGGGTTAGCAGGTTGCTAACTGGCTGCTTCAGAGGCATTTCTCCTGCAGCTCGGGCTGAATCCTTGAGCCAGGACTCACCCTGGGTGCTGTCACTTTGCAGATTAGAGGTTCAAAAAGCAACTGTGGAGAACATGATGTCAACGATGACAGGCGACGAGATCCTCGTCCAAGCTGCGACTACTGCCTTGATCGGTGGAAAAGGGTGAGACTGTCCCCCAGTCAGTCAGTTGGGTTGGCCTGGACCAGACCCTTAATATCCAGTGTCCCAGGGCCAGGCAGGGACAGCACAGAGTAAGGAAGGATGTCTGAGGATGGGGTAAATTAGGCACCAGGCACAGCTGTCCCTCTCCTCAGCCCAGAGGACCAGGGCAAGACAATGACCCCATAAAGCGCTACACTCAAAGAGTGTTAACAAAGCCAGAAATCCACATTTCCTTGTGAAAGATGCACATTTATACAGATGGCCAATGGAGAGAGGAACCACGCAGAGCGTTATCTCGCACTGACAGCGCTGGTATTTCAGGAAGTGTACCTACCAAGTGATCTGCACTCTCTAAAGAGAATCAGCCTGCTGTTACAAACGCTGTCCTGCGCAGCTGGGAGAGAGAGAGATGTTTAATAGCACCCAGCAAGCTACCAGAATTTAAACATGCGTGCGCGCACACGTTCATCGATCCACCTGATAGGCAGTTAATAAACACTACTCTGTACCAGATACCAACCTGGGCACAGAGGGATGACAGAAAGCGGTCCCTGTCCGTGACAGTCAACACCTGGGGGAAACGCAGGTTAACAGTATAAGCCCGCGGCACACATGAAGACAGGAGAGGGGCAGGACTCCACACTGGGAAGAAGAAGGCTTCTGCACTGACACACACAGCACTGATACCCCTCACCGACCCAGCTCCACACGGGCACTTAACCGAGGCGCTCTCGCCTTCCTGAAACCTCCTGACCACCTCATCAGGGAAGTGGTCCTGTCTCAAGATTAGGAAACCAACTGAGACCAACAAGCCTGTTACCAACCTTGCTCAAAGCCACCCTGCTGAAATATGGTAGTGAAAGCATTTGATTCCAGGCATCCTGCCTCCAGACCCCTCGTTGGTGACCAGTACATTAGCAGTGGCAGGAAGAGTCATTCATCTTCTCCAGAACATTCGATGTTAATAAGGCCAGGCTCTGGTAAACGGAGGGTCTTTCTTATGCTGCCACCCACACAGTAGACAGCCAGAGTGCTAGGCACAAGCGTGAACCCGTAATGGGCATCTAGATATAAGGCAGCCTGGTGCCTCTGGCGAAGGAAGCCCTCCTCGAGTTTGCTCAGGGGAGGGATTTTTCCATGTTTAATGGAATGCCTGCCATGAACCAGGCTCTGAATCCTGTGTACAGGGGACTGCCTTGCTCTTTGGGAAGCACCAATCTTTCTCTCTCCAGTAACCTGGAAAACTCGTGAGGCTCACTCCCAAAATGCCCATCGCTTTAACCGAGCACTATCTTGCAGTCAGGTCTGGTTTCACTTGTATCTTGCTGTCCGCAGCCTACTAGGACCTGTAATCAGCCTCCTGGGATTTCAAGTGAATGGAGACGTGACTCTGAAAATTGGCATTTCCACAAATGACACCCAATGCGTCAACCTCGAAGTCCAGGACAAGAACATCAAGGTCAACAAAGTGTACCTTCAGTTGCTAAAGACGTACGTGAGACCATTTTTCTCATTTTCTGGATCAGTGGGCCTGTGTACCAGAATGTCCCCACTGGTACACGGCGAGGGTGGGGGGGCGGGATACCCTCATAGATTAGCTCAGCCACCTCAATGGTTTCAATGACCAATCAACAGATGCCCAGGCAGGGGTCACTGCTGGGGAACAGCCTACTCTGTTTCAGAACAGCCTTCCCCCTCTCGGCCTGCATCTTACCGGCTAGGCACACTTGTATTTTGTTGTTTTGTGCATAAGCAATGTAGTCATCTTGGTCAAAATTCAGAAGATACACAAAGCCATACAGTGACGTCTCCCGTCCACCCATGTACACCAGCTGGCTAATTACACTCCCTGGAAGCAACCAATGAATCCAGGCCCTTTGGTTGGCTTTCAGAGGTACTATTTGCACAGGCAACTAAAATGCATGTACATACACAAAGAAACGGGCACATATCACAAAATACCTGCACTCCAATTGTTTCACATTTTTAAAAATGGCTTGGAATCAGTTGCATCAGTAAATAGCTTCTTCTTAGGTTAAATCTACCTGCAACCCCATTATGAAGATGCAGTATAATTTATTTAACCAGTCCCTTAACAAGGAATAGTTGTTTTCCCAATTAACTTTGTACCCTACTCCGATATGGAACGTCCCCCACCAGTGTGCTCAACGAAGTGCACGGTATCTGAAGGATAAAGTTTTCCATTTGGGAACGCTGGTCAGATGTCTGGCTTTGGAAATATTCCCAGGTATCTTTGCATCTTCCTTCATGACCAAAACTGAAGGTGAAAGGGCTCAGGTGGTTGCAAAATTCAAGCAGCAGGACATCACTGCAGCTGTACCATCGACCGAGGGGCTATCGCCACTGTTTGGGCAAAATCCAGAAATGCAAAATCATACAGTTCTCCCCTTGTATCTTTCCCAGGGTCACGGATATTTTGCCTCTCCCTGTCCCTCTGCCCTTGGACGACGTCATTTCTCAACTGCTGACAGTTAAATTGAATGAGAATGTAAGTCACAGGAAAGGGGAGGGCACCGTCACAAAAGTCTATGTCACTGCGGGGGAGACAGGAAGAAGCCCTTTCCTCACTTCTGGCCTGAGGCCGGGAGAGATGTGGGCAAGACACATTAGCCTTCAGGAGTCCAGAGGCAAGGGGATGCAAGATCTGCGCTGGCCCAGAAGACCCCAGCAGCAGGATAGGACAGTGCCTCAGGCGGGGAGGAGGCAGAGAATGAGTTCTGCCCAAAGAAGGCCAGGACATAGAAGGGGGAGAAGGACAGGAGGACAGAGGAGGAGGAGAAGAGGAGGTGGTGGAGGAAATCGGCGGGCCTGCTGCGTTTCCTCTACAAACCTAACTGCTGGTTCATTCACAGTTGAAAGAAGCAAAATCATGTGACATTGATGTCAGTGATTTCACCGAATGCAAGAACTGTGAGTACAAACACCCAACCTCCTTGGGGCTCCCCAGGTCAATGGAGTAGATGGCCAAGCCTCCCTAGGTATCCATATTGGGTGGCAGACTGAAAGGATGGGACTGTGAGCTGCAAGCACCCAACAAACTCCTCAGCACACTCAGGGAAGAGAATGTGGCAGTTTCCCTGCTTCTCCAAATTACCGTGACTTGTTATCCAGGATATAACAGGACAAAAAGCCCCTTAGGGGTCTTGGTGGTAGCTCCCCAGGCCCATATGGTTTGCAAAATGCACACATGCATGGAGTCTGAGCAAGGTGCAGCCCCAGTGCTCCATACCCGTCTGAAAAGCTGGAATCCCCCGTAGTGTCCCAAACACATCCGGAAGTCAGACATAGGAAGAATTGGTGGGACGGTGGCACCAAGACAGCCAAAGCTGGAAATTTGTGACAGTTGCCAAGTCCAGAGAGAATAAACAAAGATTCTGGGCAACAAACCTTTTCCTCCCCTTGGAGGTTTCTTTAAAAAGTTAAAAGAATTAGATGTTTATTTAAATTTTTCACCAGGAAAACACTAGATGATGAGGGTAGAACTAGGGAAGATGTATGAGAGAGTAAAATAGTTTAAAATTGTCACCCTTAGATGTTCCATTCCTTTTCTTTTTTTTAAGATTTTATTTATTTATTTTTAGAGAGGGGAATGGAGGAAGAAAGAGAGGAAGAGGAACATCAATGTGAGAGAAAAACATCAATTGGTTGCCTTTCACACACATCCCGACAGGGGACTGTACCCACAACCGGAAATCAAACTGGCAACCTTTTGCTCCATGGGGCGACGCCCAACAAAATGAGCCCCATGGGTCAGGGCTAGATGCTCCATTCTTAATAAACATGCTTAATGAATATGGTATCAGACCAAAAAACAGTATCTTCTTTCATGTTGGCTCAAAATCAGAAGTTGTAAAGTCCCATTTTTACTTAGTCCCCAAACGTCCCGTATCTGAGGCCAAATCAATGACCAGAGTGGAGAGTGTGGTAAAACCAGCCTTTGCCTCAGTGTTGGTCCCCTGCCTCCTGCTCCTACACTCCATAGCTCTGAGTGGCCTGGGACACATCACTTGGCCTCTCTAAGTCAGCCTTGAGTTGAGAAATTGGATCAGATGAATGCCAACTATTCTTCAGCAACAAGTGACAGAAAGCACAACACAAACTAGCTTAAGCAACAGCAACACTAAAATTGTAGTTACTGAACACCCACATATGGTGTTAGCTTTGGCGGTGGCTTGATTCTGGACACGAGCAGTGACGCCAGAGTCCATCTCTGGGCTCTACCGCTTCTGGGTAGGCTCTACTTTGGCTCCACATGGAGGTGGGCTCCCTGGGCTCCCCCGGCTGACTTGTTCCCTGTCCCCTGCCTTAGGGCAGTGCCGTGGCCAGGGAGATGGAGTGTGCTGGCTGGCATGGCCAGCTTATACATTAAGAGTATAATTAGTTATGTTTTATCTCCTCACAGAGAAACCTTCAGGCAGCAAACTAAACCCAGAACATCTGATGCAAAGGAATTTTCGAGAATGAAAGCACTCTGAAACTTCCTGAAGAAATACTGAGCCAAGGGCATCCTTGTGATTAAGGAACCAAGTTGGGTATTCTGAACTTGTCAACTGCCCTTTGCAATTCACCAATGTTACTTGGAATTAACAAGTGCAAGAAAATCAAGAATAGGGATTTTTGGCATTTTGTAATCATCTCTTCAATAATTATCCTGTTTTCATGCATAAAATGGCTCACTTGTCTTCAATTTGTACAAAATAGGAATTTCATGGTACATTCATGATAAATACAAAAAGCACTTAGTAAGTAAAAGCACTATACATACTAGGGACATAAAAATCAGTAATGTAAATGATGAGGCAGCAAAACCAGGATTAAATTACCTAGTGCACTAGGGGCAATCATCACAATGATGAAGGCTTTTCTTTCCACATCTCTGCCCTGCCCTCTCCAACTCCAAGTGCTTCCCTTTGCCCACTGGCCAAACATGAAAATCACCCAGGAGCTAGAATACAATGTCCCCAATGTTACGTGTCACAAATGAAAGACACAGACCAAATGCTAAAAGATATATGGAACAGAGCATGCACAGGGCAGCAAAGAATCTAGATCCCAGCTCAGTGACAATAGGCCATGCCAAATGCCTGTCAGAAAGAAGCCAAGCCATGCAGGGAACCTGAAAATAGAAAGAATCCCAGAAAAGTTTACAAGAATGGTGCTGAGAAATATAACTGTGATCTCTATACCAGACAGAGACTCTTTGCCCTGTGTCCAGTGTCTGCATAACATATCTGCTCCAGAAACCAAAAAGCTCAGATTGTGGACACCAACACTAGACAGACCAAGCAGGGCCAGAGACCAGGCTTTCGTCCCAGTAAGGGGCAGCACCCCACAATATTAAGGTCAAATCATACTATTACCTTCGGCCCTTTGTGAAACCTTAGGACCTGATTTCTCTCCAAACCAGTACCTCCCAGAGTCAATCCCATCTTGGTAAATACCAGTACAATCCACCCAGCTTTCCTAGCCAGACACTTGGGAATTGTTCTTCATTCCTCCCTCTCTCACAAACAGATCCTGTCCCACTGATCCTGACTCAAGGGCATCTTTCTCTGTCTGTTTCTCTCCATCATCCTAGTCCAAGTCACCAAGACCAATTGAGATTTACTCTAGACATGCAAGATTGGCTCAACATTTGAAATCAATTAATGTAAACTATCACATCAACAGGCTAAAGAAGAAAAAGTGCATGCTGAGACAATAGATGCTAAGTATTTGACAAAATCCAACACACATGATAAAAACTCTAAGCAAACAGGGAATAGAGGGGAACTTCCTCAACTTGGAAAGAATATCTACGAAAAACTGTATAGCTGACATACTTAATAGTAAGAAATGAGAAGCTTTCTCTCTAAGACCAGGAACACATTACTCCTTTCCAACATTATATTGGAAGTGTAATGGGGTGCAAAGCAGGGGGTCGCCAGAAAATGGGAGAAAACCCCCCACAAACCTTGACTGGGGGATGGGGGAAGTCGATGATATGGCTTAAGAAACTTTGCATAACAAAAAGACGAGCTAATAGCTGTGCCACAGCACCCTCCCACCCCCACCTCCACCCCCAGCAAAAGGTATCTACCTGACTCTGAAAGCATTCAGGGGCTGGTGACATAGCCAGCAAAGGCAAAGGCCCTCACCGGAAGCCTGTGTCACAGGAACTCTTTCCCTAAAGATGGCAGCCAATATCATCAAAATGTCCATACTACCCAAAGCAATTTATAGATTTAATGCGATCCCTATTAAAATACCAATGACGTATTGCACAGATAGAGAATCAACAATTCAAAAATTTACATGGAACCATAAATGACTCCAAATAGCGGCAGCAATTTTGAGAAAGAAGAATAAAGTAGGAGAGATCACAATACCTGACATCAAACTATATTACAAAGCCACTGTAATCAAAACAGTCTCGTACTGTCATAAGAACAGACACATAGATCAGTGGAACTGAACAGAGAGCCCAGAAATGAACCCATGTCTCTATGGTCAATTAATATTCGACAAAGGGGGCAGAAGCATAAAATGGAGTAAAAATAGCCTCTTTAACAAAAATGGTGTTGGGAGATCTGGACACCTACATGCAAAAACATTAAATTCGACCGCCAACTTAAACAAAAATACACTCAAGATGGATAAAAGACTTAAATACAAGCCGCGACACCATAAAAGTCCTAGAAAAGAACATAGGCAGGAAACTCTCAGATATTCCACACAGCCATATTTTCACCAATATGTCCTCTAGAGCAAGGGACATAAAGGAAAGAACAAATGAGACTTCATCAAAATAAGAAGCTTCTGCACGGCTAAAGAAAACATCAGCAAAATGAAAAGGGAACCAACTGTATGGGAAAATATGTTTGCTAATAATTCCCTGAATAAGGGTTTGATCTCTAAAATATATGAAGAACTCACACAACTCCACTCCAGGAAGACACATAATCCAATTAAAAAATGGGAAAAGGACCTGAACAGACACTTCTCCAAGGAGGACATACACAGGGCCCAGAGACATATGAAAGGATGCTCAGCATCGCTAGCCATCAGAGTAATGCAAATTAAAACCACAGTGAGATACCACTTCACACCACTCAGAACGGCCATCATAAACAAATCAACAAACAAGTGCTGGTGAAGTTGTGGAGAAAAGGGAACCCCAGTGCACAGTTGGTGGGAACGCAGACTGGTGCAGCCACTGTGGAAAACAGTTTGGAATTCCCTCAAAAAGCTAAAAATGGAACTGCCTTTACCCAGCAATTCCACTGCTGGGATTATACCCTAAGAATCCCAAAACACCAATTCAAAAGACTGCACCCCAATGTTCATAGCAGCACAATTTACAACAGCCAAGTGCTGGAAGCAACCTAAGTGCCCATCAATAAATGAGTGGATAAAAAAACTATGGTGCATTTACACAATGGAATACTATACAGCAGAAAGAAAGAGCTACTGTCTTTTGCAACAGAATGGATGGAACTGGAGAGCATTATGCTAAGCAAAATAAGCCAGGGGGTGAAAGACAAATACCATATGATCTCACCTATAAGTGGAACCTAATCAACAAAACAAACAAGCAAGAAAAATATAACCAGCAACATTGAAAGAAAACAAACCAACAGTAATGAGAGGGGAGGAGGGAGTGGGTGAATGGGGAAAAGGGGAAGGGTCAAGGAATGGGAATAAAGGACCCGTGGACAAAGTCAAAGTGAGGAAGGACTGAGGGCGGGAGGTGGGGGTGGGTGGGGCAGGGGAAAGTGTTACTGGGAAAATGGAGACAAATGTATTTGAACATTTAAATAAATAAATAAATAAATAAAATTTTTAAAAAGACAAAAAAAGATGGCAGCTGAGAGAATGTAAATGACATGGGGAGACTGGCAAATGCAGCACATTGTAGGAGGAGCTGGCTAGGAGGTCACATAGAAAGCTCTGGGTCAGGATTTAAACTAAACTAAGGGTG